GGTCTCCCACGCAGGTGCAGGGGCCCAAGGACTTGGGCCATCCTCCACCACTTTCCTGGATTGGAAGTGGAGCAGCCGGGACTCGAACCAGCGCCCACATGGGATGACAGCACCACAGGCAGAGGCTGCTTCACCCACCATGCCACAGCACTGGCTCCAAATCAGGAATTTTTGAAAGTCCCAGAAGAACAAAATGAAACGTGGCTTGATGAGCAGACTTTTGGCTATTGCTGAGTACTTACAAATAAGCACTTACTTACTTACTGGGGGGGGGGGGGTAAGTTTCTGCAGAGGCCCAGCTGGACAAGAAGCAACATGTAGACTCTTAAACTCAGGAGTACATAGTAGGTCTCCTGAAATATGCAGAGGCTGATGAAGAACAGGCAACAAGCTATGCTTCTGCACCCATTCTTCAGGAAAAGAAGATAAGGTTCAGAAAGGCTAAGAGTTCTGGTGACATTTTACAGCAAGACAGACTACCTCCACGTCAGTGGTGGACAACAACAACCTGTAAAAATCTTAGGGTTTGGTGGGACAGGAATTTGGGCGAGGCTTGGACGCGTGGTGCTTCTGCTCTAAGTGGCATCGGCCAAGGGGCAGGTTTTGGCCCAGCAGATGAGCAGTTACTTGGGACACTTGCATTCCACAGCAGAGTGCTTGGGGTTTGAGTCCCAACTCTGCTTCCAGTCCTACTTCCCTGCCAACACGCGCCCTGGGAGGCGGCAGCTGAGCTCTGACGTCCGTGGGTTGCTGCCACCCATGTGAGAGATCTGGATGGAGTTCCAGGTTCCTGGCTTTGGCCCGGTCCAACCCTGGCTGTTGGGGGCCTTGGAGAGTAAACCGGTTTCCATCTCTCTGCCTTTCAAACAAAATCAATAAATAATGGTGCAAACAGTCTCGGAGCCCGCCTAGAACCAGGGGGAGGGGCAATCATGTGGACCCGACCTCTCAAAGAGAAGAGGGCAGGAATGCTACATCCACTTAGAATCTGCAACTCTAAGATATCAAATTCTGAATCTGACTCCAATCTCTATTCACGCTGTACTTCCCCCGCTGTCTAAACTTGCTGAAGCCAGAGAGAAGAGGAGAAGGGGGCCTTTGCCTCACAGACACAGGCTGCTGCTGATGAGAATACGCGTTCGGAGCCCTGTGTTCATTTCAGGGCTGGAGAAACATAGCTGAGATCACTGCCCAAGTCCTAGAAGATGATTGGTGTGGAAATTAATGGGTGCCCCTGAACTGTATCAGCAGCGACTTTGCCGGGAACGGTTAAAGAATGTCTGTCGTCTCAGCTAGAAAATGCTGAGCGGGTTCCTGGGGTTGAGGTGAGCTCCTTTTCCTTGTTTCTCTTCCCGAGGCAACAGAGATGCTTCGTTTTTCATTTACTTGTTTGCATGGACGAAGCGCACTTGTGCAGGTACGCGAAAGAGCTCGGCTGGTTCTCGATCCTGTACAGAAAGGGAGGTACTTCTGGAGGCGAAAGGGAGCGCGAGTGGGAGGGGAACCGAGGACAGCAGGGCCAAGCCGTGTTCTCAGAGGGACCTGCTTCTCTGGGCCCTGAGACCGGGGCGCTTAGTCTGGAAGAAAGAAGCAAGCTTGACCCTGAGGTCTTGAGGAGTCCCGCCACGGTGCTTACAGCTCGACTGTCAGTTCCTGACACAGGTGGTTCCCCACTGCTACCCTCGCTCTTATCCACCTGGCCCTGGTGTGTCTTCTTTCCCACCCCTGAACACAACCGTGGCGGCCACACCAACCTCACACCGACCTCCAGGACCTGAAGTAGGCGTTCTACCCCGAATCCTCCTGGTCCTGGCACTGCTTGATCCAGCCTCCACTGCTGGGAGCTCCCCTCCACAACGCGGGCTTGAAGGAGCAACTGCCCACTCATGGGACGGCTCTAGCTCTGCCCCTCGCCTGCAGGTCTGGTCCCGCCTCTCCCGGCCAAACACTCACCACGTGGCCCGTCGTGCCACTCTTCCTCTCCGTTGTTACACGCACCTCTCTGTGCAGCTGTCTCCAGCTTACCTTGCATGCCTCCTTCCAAAGTCCACTTCGACTTCTCTTTTTTTATTCCCGGAGATGTCGGGGAAGGGCTCTGCAGGCTTCTCTTCTCTCTGAGCCCCAGCCCTCTGGGCTTGTCTCCCGATTGCACTATCCTTTTTTCTTTTGCCTGTTTTGAGTATCTTGCTCTTCTGCTGCCTTATGAACTCTTTCTGGGTGAGGATCATGGGGTTTTATTTTTATTTATTTATTTATTTATTTGACAGGCAGAGTGGACAGTGAGAGAGAGAGACAGAGAGAAAGGTCTTCCTTTTGCCATTGGTTCACCCCCCAATGGCCGCCAAGGCCGGCACGCTGCGGCCGGCGCACCGCGCTGATCCGATGGCAGGACCAGGTACTTATCCTGGTCTCCCATGGGGTGCAGGGCCCAAGTACTTGGGCCATCCTCCACTGCACTCCTGGGCCACAGCAGAGAGCTGGCCTGGAAGAGGGGCAACTGGGACAGAATCTGGCGCCCTGACCGGGACTAGAACCTGGTGTGCCAGCGCCGCAAGGCAGAGGATTAGCCTAGTGAGCTGCAGTGCTGGCCGGGGTTTTATTTTTAAAATATGTACGCATTTATAGGAAAGGCAGAGTTATGAGAGAGGGTAAGAGACACAGAGAGGTCTTCCATCCACTGGTTCACTACCCAGATGGCTGCGATGGCTGGGGCTAGGCCACACAGAATCCAGGAAGCTGGCACTCCATTCTGGTTTCCAATGTTGGCAGCAGGGGCCCAAGCCTTGGTACATCTTCCACTGCTTTCTTGGGTGCATGAGCAGGGAGCTGGATCAGAAGTGGAGCAGCTGGGACTTGAATTGGCACCCGCAAGGGATGCCAGCTTCGCAGCTTAACCTGCCACACGGCACCTCTAACCCTGACCATGGCCTCTTCATTTTTGAATACCTAGGTTCCAGAGCAAAGCCTGATACATGAATGTTTGGCCGGTTGGAAAGCAGGACGGCTGGTTGAAGGCTGCATGGTGATGAAGGTGAACGGATGAATGGTTGGGTTGCTTTGCCATTAAATCCAGAATAACAGGGGGTGCACGTGCATAAATATAATATATAAAAATAAATAAATATACCATATATTATATACATTTAATATATTATATATAATATGTATTACTTCTGATTATTGCAGCTCTTCAAAGAGTCTGGAAGCTGTTCTGAGTTAGCCTTCTTAATACTCCAAGGATACCACAAGAGATTTTTTTTTTTTTTTTTTTGACAGGCAGAGTGGACAGTGAGAGAGAGAGACAGAGAGAAAGGTCTTCCTTTTGCCGTTGGTTCACCCTCCAATGGCCGCCGCAGCCGGCGCACCGCGCTGATCCGATGGCAGGAGCCAGGAGCCAGGTGCTTTTCCTGGTCTCCCATGGGGTGCAGGGCCCAAGCACCTGGGCCATCCTCCACTGCACTCCCTGGCCACAGCAGAGAGCTGGCCTGGAAGAGGGGCAACCGGGACAGAATCCGGCACCCCGACGGGGACTAGAACCCGGTGTGCCGGCGCCGCAAGGCGGAGGATTAGCCTAGTGAGCCGCGGCGCCGGCCTACCACAAGAGATTTAAAGAGTGTTCAGCAATTGATTATTCTGGAACCAGCGTTTGTCTTTACTTCCCAATCCACGTCGCAGCTGGATTTGCTATACTAAAGGGTTTCCCCGGCCTTAGCAGGTTGGAGACAGCTACGTTTACTTCCTTTACAAGGCTGGTGAGGTGAAATTACTCAGAAAAAGATACATATAGCACCTCTCTCTCTCTCTCTCTCTATCATCTTTATCTCCTGCATCTGCATCTGCATTTCTCTCTCCATCCATCCATCTGTTTTGCATACGTTGTTGTCAAGGTTTATTGGCTATATCCCCCAGGAGAACCTTGAGAATATCTGAGTATTATCTTTCTCTTGTCTTTGGAGCTTGAGACACAAATAAGGATTTGTTCTGATGTGTCCAGGAATGGCACAGGCAGAACCCAGAACTCAGTCTTTGCTGCTGTGTGAGACACATTGCTCACTGTCATTGTTCAGATAGGATTCTCAGAGTCGCAGCCCCATTCCCCAGGGGGGGATCCCAGCCACTGAAGGAGATGGGCTGGCTCTAAGGTAGGATGGTGAATGGGTTGCATCTTGCGGCCACCTCCAAAGCAGCTGGTAGTCGTTGCCTGGAGTTGAGGAGGATTCTGGGTTCCATCTGAGCTACACCTGATGAGTGATGACCCCCGTATCTGCCACGCCTTTCCTGTCTCTGAGGCTGTTGCGGGCATTCCTTATGACTGGTTTCATCCTAACAGTGAACCACCAGAATGGTTCATGACATTGGCAATGAGAAAATATCTATATTTTCAGTGGTTGCAATGCTTATCTTTTTTCAGTTTTTGGAAGCTAGTTTTTGGATTAAATATGTTAAATTCCTGTTTCAGAGAATGTGGTTAATAAAAATCTAGAGAGGCGGCGAGGGAAACTAACTGGGCCCCTGATACCTAATGGAGCCGTTTTCTCTGAAGGACAAGTGCTTTCCTCCCTCTGGGGGTGGGGACTGCTTGCCCCAGAGAGAGGGAGGCCTCCTCAGCTGTTGTGGTGTGTTGGATTGAAAATTAAAGCCGTCCACGTCTATGCAGATGCAAATATAATCAGATTAACTTTATTTGAAGCGTCTATTACATTCTTGTTAACAACAATATGCAAAGTTAAGCCAGTTTAACACTTCAGCAAAATGCACTTAATTTGGAATTTGGGCAGTGGAAGGCTTGGCAAACGCTGGGAGATTGCTTAGTGGCGTTGGGTATGATGCGCACACGGGGTTGGGGGAGCAGCTCACCCTCATGGTGAGCGAGAAAACTCAGGAGAGGTCTCCGAGGCTTAGAAGAGAAGTTATTTAGACCTGGGCGTGGCATTCTGGCTGCTCCCGCGGTCCCCCTCCCCCGCTTCCTTCCTATTGTGTATACATTTTTTGCCTTGTGGTTCTATATGCTGAGAATCACAGTCTACTGACCTAAATCACACCCCAGGCATATCAATGCAGATCCTGACCATACATCAGCCTTGCAAATACACGTCCCGGGAGCCTTGTCTGGGGAAAGCGTGTTGCCTAAGAGCCTTGTCTGGGGAAAGCGTGTTGCCTAGTACAAATGATCTGGGTGTTCCCCAGGGTTGGGTCAGAACTTGCCCTGGCTGTTTGCAAGGCTGAGTCCACGTGGCCTTCAGTGAGCTCAGTGTTTCGCGGAGGTCTCATGTGGAGACACGGGACAACCAGTGGCTGCCCTCCTTCCCCACATCCGGGCACTGTTTCCAACCCAGTGGAATAATTCTATTGTAAAAGGGACCTGGGCCTGCGCCATTCTGTGAAAGTTAGCATTGCAGGGACAGAGGTGAAGCACAATCACTAATTAAGGAGCGTGATTCCTCGTTCCTCCAGTCCCAAACCAGCCTCATTACTTTCTAATTCTGCACCCCAGAAAGAGTTAAAGTTAGGGCTATCGGTGCCTGCTGATCAGGTTAGTGTGATGCCTCTTATAAAATGCATCATAAACTACATTATTTAATAGATCTGAGGATTGCACCTGCTTTTTGATCTCCTCTTAGGTGATTAAGTTTTCCACAAATGCAATTTGTTAATATGGGGCCCATCTTCTCACAAGGTAAATCTGTGCGATTTGGCAGGCAGTCACTTGGCAGCAGGTGCAAGATGAAAGACCTTCCTGTGGCTTTGCCACGAAGAGAAATGATGCTGTGCTCGATGCCTGGGAAAAATATTCTGACATAGAGGGTGGCACCTCATTCCACGAAAGTGGAACAGAATTCTAAGCCCAAATCATGTGCTCGCCTCCATTTCAGGGAAATATGCTATCCCCCAAAGACTGGTAAATCAGAAGTCTTGTTTTACAGGAGGCGAGGGAAGCCCTCCGACACTTGGCGCTGCAGCCATTTGTGATGATAAATCATGGCTTTTATGAGCTATGGGAGCTTAATTAGAGCTTAATTAGAGATAACGCTCAGAATCCTTTGGCGATGGAATGAGTTGAAGCTACCACCCACACGGATAGCCTGGGTTGGGGAAGGTGTGTCTATAATCCGTGTCATTTCTACCCTGGGGCCTCTCTAGTCTTCACACCTAAGTTAAAGCACGGGTTGACTATTTCTGCATTAGAATTTTCTTAGCCAAGACTACACGAGGCCAAGTGCTGGTGGCTGTCTCAGCCTCCGGTGCCTTTACATAGAAGGTCGTCTTCGAATCTCCAAGTTCAGCTCGCCGTACACGTGTCGCAGGGAGTCACTGGTCATGCTGGCGATCAACTTCCGAGGGCCGGGGACCCACGGCCGACACACTTCTTCCCACTGCACGGTGGAGTTGGGCCGGATTTCACTGAAAGCATGGGAAAGAGAGGAGAGGTTGGCAGACCCAGCTTCCCACCTCCGCCAGAAGCGACGAGAACCTTATCTTTATCTCAGTTGATGGTGGTGGGAGAATGGGAGGAGCTTGTTGGCTGATTCAGCCAATCACAGCCCCTTTGTGAGGTTCTGCAGAACCTGTCGCTAAAAGTCCCACGGGGCTGTGCGTCCTGCCACTTGCATGCACCCGAAGGCCTCCTACTTGATAAGAGCAGCCAGGCTGAGTCCCCCCAGCCATGTCAATCAAATTCTAATTTGTTCTCCAACCTTCCACGGGAGTCTTGTCTATGTGCCTGGCCTTCTGCTGTGGCTCATTTTTTCTTGCGACTCTTTAATCTCTTCTGGAACTGGAGTTCTATCCTAACTCCCCCATTGTCTTCGCTGAGGTCCTGACACTCCAGTTAGCTCCCCCTTGGGATAGAGAATGTCCCCAGGCCCAGTGGCCGGAACAAGACCCTACCTGCTGCCATCCGACGATCTTCACGCTCTGTAATTTGAAATCAGGTTGTAACCACCAAATTGGGTCCCTCCACCCACGCACCTTTCTGCTACTTGACTGCTGATTTCCTCTTCTATCTTGATAATGGGGTAGCTTTTCCTGTTCCTGGTGCTCTCTTTGTCCTCCTCAGCCCTGCTCTGAGGTTTTCCTGAGCCTCCTGGACAAGCCCACTCTGTTGGAGAATGAGCTCACTCTGGGCTAATCAGAGTCAAGGAGATCTAGGCTTCTCTGGAGTATTTTCCATATAAACCTGGGAGGTGATTACATAGAGGTTGGCTCTGTGTGAAGTTCTTTGCTTTAGATACTATCAGACACATTTTGTAGTTCAGACAAATGGAAAGTTAAGCAAGGGAAGTCACGTTTCTAAGACGGTCTAGTGGGTAAACAGCCAGGGATGAGATCCAAGTCCTCACGACACGCTCTCTCCGTGCCAGCACACACCACTGCACACCAGGTCCCCAGGGGGATGGTGGGTCTTGGAGGCCAATGGCATCCCACACTCCATTTTGCCATCAGATGCCTTCTCTGCCCACACTGTTTACATTTTCGTAGATTTCCTTTCCTAAGCAAGACAGCTACCCTTCCTTCAGTGGGAAGGGATTCCTGTGCGTGTTCACAGAGGCTTCCTGGTCTCTGCTCTTGACCCTGACAGAGGGCGTGTGCTGGGCCTGACAAAGCCTGGGCCAGCCCTGCCCAAGCACAGCTGACGTCAGATGAGTTGAGACAAACTTGCTTGTCCTGAAGGGAGGAAAAGGGAACTGCCTGTTTTGTTGGGGACACCGAGGATCGATGAGGATTTTAGAAATCAGTTACTACTATCTCATTTTAGAGAGGACTAAACTGATGCCCTAAAGGAGCCCCCAAACCCTGAATCGCTGAGCTGGATGGCCCAGATAATGGGAGAATTGGAATTGGAGCCAGCCACATATTCTTTCTAGAATTCTGCTAGTAGAATAGACTGTATACTGTCTGGAATTCTGGGAAAACCTGAGCACCAGGAGGCTGGATGAGGAAAGGTGAAACCGCCTGTCACATCCCAAGGAGTTGGGTGCTTCTGCCTCCAGAAGCCCGGCACAGTCTGCTCTTCGGGCTGCGCACCCTGCAGACCTTGCTCCCCCGGGGCTCGGCTGGATGCGCGCCCCGCCGTTTCTCAGTGCCACTGTATGTCACCGAAACAGGGGCATATGAATTTGAATTCCAACAGATTCAGACACCCAAAGTCTCTGTGACTACTTTGCAGGTTGGGATGCTTAAAAGTTATAAAAATAGAGACCGGCGCTGTGGCGTAGCTGGTAAAGCTGCCACCTGTGACACCAGCATCCCATATGAGTGCTGGCTCCTGTCCTGGTTGCTCCACTTCTGATTTGGCTTCCTGCTAATGGCCCGGGAAAGGCGGTGCTTTGAAGATGGTCCAAGTGCTTGGGCCCCTGCACCTAAGCGGGAGACCCAGATGAAGCTCCTGGCTCCTGGCTCTGGCTTGGGCCAGTGCTGGCCATTATGGCCATCTGGGGAGTGAACCAGCAAATGGAAGATCTTTGTCCGTCTTTCCCTCTCTCTCTCTGTAACTCTGACTTTCAAAACAAATAAATAAATCTTTTTAAAAAAATTATGAAAATGGAGATGTTGCTATGTGTGCAGCGAACAACACCAAGTTAAAAAGTTACTTATACTATGTTCATAGCGTGTTTCCACACGAACCTTGTTGCCTGTGGGGCTTATTTAGTAGTCATGTCTGCTTGTCAGATGGAGCTTTGGAAAGAAAAAAATTGGACGTAATGCAACTATTTTTAAAAAAATGAGCCATTGTTAAGGAACGTGCAATGACTGGTGTCTGTAGAATGAAATGATGCCTAGTAGAGTTACAAGTTCTACGGACTCTGGAGCCAGGACATTGGGCTCTCAAAGCCTGACACTCCACTTGTTGGTTTCGTCATCTTAGACAGTTCACGGTTCTTCCATCAGCCTCAGTTCTCTCCTCTACAAAATGGAGACCATGCGGTGCCTGCCCCATAGAGCTGTTGTGACAGTTAAATGAAACGTGTTAAGCAAACAACCTAGACCGGAGTTCTACATGGCATGAACATTCAGAAAATACAAGGGTACTTCAAAAAGTTCATGGACAGACGTCATTAAACGATAAGCCTATTTTAGCGCAAAATGATTTTGAAACCCATGCATGTATTTTCATAAAATGCATTTTCCAGGAACTTGGTGAAGACATGTCATATCAGCTATTGCCAATGCAGCTTCTTATCTGATTGTTTTATGCGATGACAGAGGAGAGGTTTAGCTGCTCCCAAGTCTTCAACCCTCACGAGATGGATTGTGTGATGAAATTTTGCCATGTTGGCGTACTTATTATGGTGATATTTGGGTAGGGTCGACCCTTGAAATGTATTCAGCTTTAGAGTAGCAAGTGGAGGGGACATCACCCATGCGGCAGACTTAGCCAGAAATAATAGATGGGCCAATCTGCTCGCTCAGGCCTCAAAGCAAGGTTTACGACATCAGTGAGCAGGCTGGGTGCTGGGCCCAGCTCTTCTCCCACCGTGGTGTGTGGGCATGGAGGAGGAAGCAGGTGAGAGTGGCTGAGTTAAACGGAATATTTGCCTGAGCATCCAAGCGCCCAGCCTTCTCCATTCTCCTGGGATGGGGCGAAGATTGAGCAGGAAAAGGAACTCAGAGAGCAAAGAACTGTGCTGTGTTCCTAACCCACCCAGCAAGGAAGGCTTTTTTTTTTTTATCTCCTAGACATTAAGTCGTTTCTTCCAGATTGTACAGCTGCTAAGAGGCCCGGGCAGAGAAGAGTCCCATGACACAGGAACTCGTGGGGCTTGGGCTGTGGGAAGGACTGGGTTCAGAAAAGGAGGATGGAGCACCAAGAACGGAGGCGCGGTGGCACCTGATAGCAGGACGAGTTGTGCAGAGGGACTTGGCGATTAGTTGCATAGTCCTTCAAGAGAGACATGCACTTGGGTTAAGACACCTCCTGCGAGACGCCCCAGGGAACCTGGGAGGTCAGTAGAACTAGGGTGGGTGGGGAGAGGCCCCCTTGGAAGGCGAACTGTCAAGGAAAGTCAAGAGGCGCTCATGGGCTGCAGCAACACAGCCCCTGTTTGCCTCGGAGTGCTTGGGCCCAGAGCATCGGTTTTGACAGAGCTAATGGGAAGGGAGAAGTAGGGGCCACATGCAGCATTTGGCCTACTCTGTGTACAGTTCTGTGTTTCTCCACACACAAAGTGACTTGTGGTTGGTTGTGGATACACACCCTCTGGTATAAAAATGGAGAAAACGCTAAATCTCAGCAATCTACACCCTAAAAAGGAAATTCTTTTCTTTCTCCTATCTGTGGACGGCGAATCTGGGGTTGTCCCTATGGCCTCGGGTGTTCTTTGGGACAGCTCCAGCCCTTGGCTTTGACACTGATAATCTACACTGTCTCAAATTCTTTGCTATTTGCTAATGCTTTTTAAAAAATTTATTCTTTGAAGATGTAGCTGTGTAAACTATTTTATTCAGTTGGATTAAAGCCAAATTATGTGGCAAATGCCCACATCCATAACCTATATATGTGAGCATTTCTTCAAACTTATTAAATTTATTCTATAACTCAAGACTTGAAAAATATGAACTTCACTGTTGCTGTCTCACCTATAAAAGGTAGACATTATAAAATATTTAGTAAGGTGAGGAGAAGCTAGGGTGAGTTAGAATTGTGGCAAGAATTGGTAAAAGCCAAGAAGTATTCGAAACATGCTATTGTTGGGGCGGGCATTGGGTGCAGTGGTTAAGATACTGCTTGTAGCAGAGAGCCTGAGTTTGAGTCCTGGCTCTGCTTCTGATTCCAGCTTCCTGCTAATGCACACCTGGGAAGCAGCAGGCAACGGCTCAGGTAATTGGGTGCCTGCCACCCATGTGAGAGACTTGATTTGAGTTCCTAGCTCCTGGCTTCTGCCTGGCTTAGCCCTAAGTGTTGTGGGCATTTGAGGAGTGAGCCAGCAGATGGAAGATCTCTTTCTGACTCTCTCATTCTCTCTCTCTCTCTCTCTCTCTCTCTCTCTCCCTGATTTTCAACTAAAATGAAAATGAAGAAATTTTAAGAAAGGAATGTGCCGTCATGATTGCTACACCATCACTTTTGTGGTTCTTGTTTGCATGAACATTCTGCACACTGATTTTAAAAAGTTGCTCCTGCCTGTGTAGAAAGACAGTTCTCCGTTGTTAATGTACAGTGCTCGACTCCACAAGAACCCAAGCCCAAGATGTTGATTGCTTAACACCTGTGCTATTTTTACCCAGAGCCGTTCATTCTCTCTCTGCGGTTTCCCCAAGTGGTCAATTAGCAGCACTTTCTGAAGCAGTTGTCCTACTTGGGGACCCGACAGGCCCAGCTGCTGGGCACATCTCAAACTCGAACTCGATCTTGAACTGTACCCCATCATTCCCTCTTCCTCATAACATAATCTACATCAGGACGCCTGTGTGGGAAAATACTCCTCCATGAAGATACCCAGACAGAAAGAGAGAAAGAAAATCATTCGCCCAGTGTGGGAAGTGGAGTAATCCTATTTGCTGGGGCCAGATGTGGTGAAAAATGACTCTTAGGAACGTGCTGAGTTGTCAGGATAGCCCTGCCATTTATCATCTCGGATGCACTCAGGCAAATGGGATTACCATCCCACTGTGCAGAAACGGCACGTGGCCTGTGCTCTGTGGTCTGGCCCCCAGCTTCTGTCCTCCTTGAGCAGCTTCAAGTTTGAATTTCAATCACAAAGTTGGAGAATTTTTTTTTCTTGAAATAACTCACAGACCTTGATCATTTTTTTTTAAAGAGAAGATGAATCTGGAAGGTGAATTACTTGGTGCTCTGCCGGTATCAAGTGCAGAAACTTAAAAGCTGAGAGTCTGTGGAAGCAGACCCCGCGAGCAGCGGAGAGAGGCAGGAGGCAGCGGGGGCGTAGCGGGGGCTCACCCTGCGGGAGGCCTGAGACACAGAGCTGCCGGCTCTGTTCCCCGCTCCAACTCCCTGCTCACCAGCTCCTGCCTCCTAGGGCCGCTGCTTTGGGGTCCAGAGCCCCTGCCTTCCCGTCATTACCTCTGCCAGGGGTGTGGGTGGCCAGGTGGGAGTGGTGAGTCCCTGACTATTTACGTCTGAATCCTAGGAAGAAAGGCAGTTGGAGCCAGCATTTTGGGCCTATGCGTGTGCACTTTCTAGGAGTCTAAGTTGTTTCACAAATAGGACACTCCTGGATCAGAACTCAGCAGCAGAGGGGCCGGTGGGTGCTTCCAACGATCTGAGCAGATGGCGGTGGGCACCGGCTGTGAAGGTTGTGCCGGAGTCAGGAGGCAGACGGGAAAGCAGCGCTCAGTCCAGAGCTTGCCCATCTGCCCCTATTATACCCTAATGTCCAGTGTAATGGCATTTGGGGGGGGGGTCTCTGTGATGGGGCTGGGGTCCTTAGAGCCAGCTCTTCCTCTCTGTCTGCTCTGAGGACATGTGAGGAAGGCCATCTGCAAGCCAGGCAGGCAGCCCTCGCTGGGAGCTCAATTGGCCAGCACCTTAATCTTGAACTTTCTAGGCTGTGGGACTGTGGGAAGTAAATGTCTGCCCAGTCCATGAAGTTTCTCTTACAGCATCCCTAACAGACTCTTGTCTGGCCACCCATCTCCCGTAGACTGTGTACCGGTGGTGACAGCTGGCAGTACCTCCAGCCAGTGTGTGCGTAGGACACCTGCCCTGTGTCCGTGCAGGGACTGGGAGTGCCATTCCTTATCCCTGACTCACCCCCACTCTGCCACACTCCAACTTGAGACGTTAACAATAAGCAAATCATTGTGAGGCTGAACCTACTTTAAGGCCTGTGCCTCCCAGTGGTGAGACATTGCACTGGCCCTGGCCAGGGTGGGGTTCCCCAGACAGCCAAGTGCAGAGGGAGAAGGTGGTTCAGGCAACCTCAGATGAAGCGAGTGGTGTGAGTGTTTGAGAAAGAGAAACGGGATACAGTGGGGGTACCTACCGGAAGCCTGTTTTGACTTTGCCTGAGCTATCTGTGTGTCTGATTCGAGTGGGAAGGTGTGACAGCAGGTAAGCCAGGCTGCTGCTTCTGACTTGGGCAGGGCTGTCGCTGCTACCCTCTCCTCCTAGCTGGTGTTGATGTCTAACTCAATTCTTTCTGCCCTGCAGTTTCCCTGTTAGCACAGGAAAGTTGTTATGGTTTGTGCTTGCATTGAAAAGGAAGCATTCAAATTATATTCTCTATTGTTTATTGTGTCTACAATAACACATCTCTTACTAAGATGCTGAAACCACAACTGGTATAATTTCAAAGAAACTCAGACGGCTCTGTGCAGGTGACGGGGTGCCCTAGGAATGAGTGAGGCCTTGAACTTGTCCTGCATATTCCAGAGGATTCTGGGATACTGCCCAACATACCTGGTCACGAGGCGTTCTCCCAAGTCCTCCACCTCTCTTTCTATGCCTTACAAGGTCACCCTACAGGAAATGTGTTAGATTGATGCTGACAGGGTTTTATTTGTAGTAGAAATGAAAGTAGTAAACCTTAAAGATTGGGATGCATCCTGGGTGTCAGTTTAAGAGGTGCACTGGCAAACTGGAGTGTGAAAAGGAGAGAGAGAGCGGAAGCCACATTTCAAGCGAGAGAGCAGAAGTCAGGGCAGACGCTTGGCCCAAGACTGTAGGAGAGTGAGACAGCTGTTTGCAACCATCTGCAAGCCATCACCTGGTAGAGAGATGGGCCTATTTTACATCAGCCTAGATGACAGAATTAAACTCACTAGTGGGATCAAGATGGCAAAAGCTCCTGACCATGGCATGGGCTCTCTTGCTGGGGACACTCTTTGCCAGTGGAAGGGGTGGAAACTGAGACCTGCAGAGCATAGCATGACTGCTGGGTTGGAAGGGGTTGAGGTTCATGCATGTTGATACAGAGCCTATAACCTCTGGTTTCTGAGTGGTACTAGACCTTGGTCTCTGAGTGGTACTGGATCTTGGTCTCTGAGTGGTACTGGACCTTGGTCTCTGAATGATACTAGACCTTGGTCTCTGAGTGGTACTAGACCTTGGTCTCTGAGTGGTACTGGATCTTGGTCTCTGAGTGGCACTAGACCTTGGTCTCTGAGTGGTGCTGGACCTTGGTCTCTGAGTGGTACTAGGCCTTGGTCTCTGAGTGGTACTAGACCTTGGTCTCTGAGTGGTACTAGACCTTGGTCTCTGAATGGTACTAGACCTTGGTCTCTGAGTGGTACTAGACCTTGGTCTCTGAGTGGTACTAGACCTTGGAATCCAGAGGCTGAGTAGTTTTCTCCTGAAAGCAGCAGGCTCTTTACAGGGATTGGGGTGGTCAAACCCATGAGGTGAGTTTGGAAAGACAGGACCCAGGAAACAGGACCTCTTTCATCATAACCCAGCACATAGTAGGTCTTCAGCGACTGTTGGTGGAAGGGACAGACGAGAGGTATTCCAGTAAAATGCTGGAACGCTGGGCTTCTGGGTTCTGGAATTAGCCACCCGAGTCTCTCAGCCTGAATACTGGCTCTGCTCTTGTAGCCTGTATAAGCTGGGGGCAGACCAGTTGACCTGTGGACTCTTCAAATTCTTCAACTGCACAAGGAGGTAATCACGTTGCCTACATTGTTTGGGTGGCCTTAAGGATTAAATGATGGAAGTGCTGGTCAAACCAACCTAATGTTTAACTCCAAACTCAGCAGGGATGGTCAACAAGGAGTGGAAAGAGACCTCCACTGGGTTCGAGTGTGCATTTGGAAAAGATTGCGAGAGAAAGCCTCCCTGTGGTCCTACACGATCTTCCACCCACATCCCCTACCCCGAGCTTACCGGAACAACTTCCTCTTTGGCCGTATCACCCCAGGGCCATCCAGGTGGATCCAGACGTTTTGCAGAGTTTCTTGTAAAGGATTGGTGAACTCGACTGTGACAACCATGTCAGAACCGACTTCGGGAGTGCCACGCACCTGAGAAACCGTCCAAGAGCAAAGCAACACGTCAGCACCACAGCAAACCCCCTTCTGCTCTGCTGGTGTCTCGGCATCTTCACTTGAGCTAAGGCTTTGCAGGGTGGTTTATCTAAGCAGTGGGACCAGTGTGTGGAGGAGAGCTTACTGCTTTGACTGGGGGATACCTATTGAGAAAAATATGGAAAATCACTCATTAGAGTCACACTCTCTTCCTCATTATAAAAGTCAACCTAATTAGAGGTCAGGTTAATAGCCAGGGCCACTGGCCGCCCTGTGTTAGCAGGAGGTAGAAGAGCATGTGCTGTAGCAATAGGACTGCTTGGTGAGAGTGGCCCAGAGAATTCTGCTTCCGGACAGGGCTCAATTTCTAACCAGAACAGAAGGGATTCTGGAGTTCAAGAGGTCGAGAACGCGCCAGGGGGCTGGTGCGTTCTTACTTGTAGACACGTTAGGAAGAAAGATGTCTAATATCTAAGGGGGGAGTGTTTGCTGTCGAACTCGGAAAAGAGGGATCAGGGTGCTAAGATAAAGGCGGGAGGTTTTCCACCTGCAGCATCAACACGTGCATCTAGGAGCGGCTAAGTCTAGGGACAGAGAAGGCTGTTTGGTGGTGAGTCCCCGATAAAACTGTCAGAGTATCAGGTCGGATTTGCCAAAGTATCCCCATGGCCAGAGTTCAATGCCAGTGTTAACACGCACTAGCAGAAGAGCCTTGAGTGAGCTACTCAGACTTCTGCCAGTGCACTGGGCTGACACGCACACGGGGAAGCAGTGCTCCTGGTCATGGTCATCGTGCGGCTGCTCTCATCATCTCTCACGCTCTATCTTCTATGTGCCATGAGACGTCTGAACACAACACAACGTGCAGGAACCCGGCCAGGAGGCCATAGGAGTTGTGCACGTGTTTAGAAGCTATGCATGTGGCATGGTGGATCTGTGTAAGACCTGCGCCACCTGGGAACAAGGTAATAATAACCTGCTTCTATCCTCACAGAACAGGAGTGCAATCAGGCGAGGCACGTGCAGCCCACACGTTGCAAGGCACGTGGCAGAGACTCAATACCTACATCTCAGGCCCTCTGGGTAGTTTTATTTTCATATTTTACCCTACTTTTCATTCTTAATACCTACCCGGTGCCCAATAAATATTTGTTAAATTAGGTTGACTGCTTAAAGATAAAATTTACTGGTTGTTTCTGTTTTCTATATAGCATTCCAGCCATTATTTTGCTATGTTTCTTTCTTAAAAAGATTTATTTCATTTGGAATACAGAGTTACAGGCAGAGACAGCAAGAGGCAGAGAGAGATCTTCTAGCAGCTGGTTGATTTCCCAAATGGCTACAATGGTTGGGGCTGGGCCAGGACAAAAGCAGGAGCCTGGGAATCCATCCAGGTCTCCCATGTGGGTCACAGGGGCCCAAGCACTTGGGCCATCTTCTGCTGCCTTCCTAGGTGCATTAGCAGGGAGCTGGTCAGAAACAAAGCAGCTGGGACTGAACTGGCTCTCACAGGGATGCAGGCGTTGCAGGCAGTAATGTTGGAGAAAACATGTGGAATGAGCTTTTCTTATGAATGGGGACAAGAGGAGACACACTGCCCGGAAAATAGGATCCTCACTTATGGACTCCACAGCTAAGGATGCACTCCCGTGACTTTACCTTCCAGCATGAAATCCATCCATGCAAGGGGTCCTCAAACATTCATGCAACATGCATATTATCAAATAACTGTGCATGGATGTCAATGCTTTTTTGCCACCAAAATAAACTTGCATGCTAATCCTGTTTTCCCCAAGCCTTTTGAAATAGCCTCACAGACGCTGGAAGTGCAATCAGAATGCTTTACCCAGGGCTCTTGGTTTGATTCTCCTTCGTTTCCAATACAGTTTTCCTCCACTAAAAACATCCCAGGCATGGGCATTTGGTGTAGTGGACAGGACGCCACCTGAAACGCTTCATCCCGTATTGGAGTGCCTGCGTTTGAGGGCTCTGCCTCCAATTCCAGCTCAAGTATTTGGGTCCCTTCCACCCACATGGGAGACCTGGATTGGGTTCTGGGCTCCTGGTTGTGGCCTAGTCCAACCCTGATTGTGTGCAGGCACTTGGGTAATAAGCCAGCAGATGGTAGACCTCTCTGTCTTTTCTGCCTCTCTCTCTTTCAAATTAATTAATGAAAAACTTTTTAAATATCCCAAGTAGGTTTGGATTTTTATAAATACAACAGAAAGATAATATTTACAAAAGCTCTCTGAGTGGGAGAAGGTGTGGCTGCTACAGAGACACTACTGGCCAGTGTTTGCTGTGACCACTGCCTCCCCTGTGTAATGCTACTGCAAAGACAGTCCCTTAAGCAATAAATCTGACACTCTTCCTCTGCACAGAGACACACAGCGACAAACACAAAGTACGTCTACCATGGGCACCGTTTTCAGGGGATTCACTATAGACCATGCAGTCCATCCCCAGGCCTCTAGGAGCCCCAGAACTCTGGATCGAGAACACTTTCCATACAGGTAGGCTGGCTCTGCAGGCAGGTGACAACACTGTGGAAAGCCAAGTACAGCCCTCCAGGTGGCTGACGACAGGGACAGAGAACGGTCAGTGTCTGAAAGGGTCTGGGGGTTCATAGCTAGGCTGCAGATGAGCATACGGTCATGCGCCATGCCCAGTGAGCTTGTTCCAGAGGTTGTGTCTGCGACCAGCTGCTGGCACGGGTCCTTGCAGTCCAGAGTTGGGGGATGGCTGGGAAAGGAGGGGAGATGAGCATGGGCCCGATCCGGCTGGGTGTTTCTCTTGTGTAACAAGGACTCAGGGTCCTTTTTCTTTTATTTTTTATTATTTTTTAAATTTATTTGACAGAGTGAGACAGTGAGAGAGAGAGAGAGACAGAGAGAAAGGTCTTCCTTCCATTGGTTCACCCCCAAAATGGCTGCTACAACCGGGGCTACACCGATCCGAAGCCAGGAACCATGTGCTTCCTCTTGGTCTCCCATGCGGGTGCAGGGCCCAAGCACTTGGGCCATCCTCCACTGCCCTCCAGGGCCACAGCAGAGAGCTGGATTGGAAGAGGAGTAACTGGGACTAGAACCCAGCGCCCATATGGGATGCTGGTGCCGCAGGCGGAGGATTAATGAAGTGAGCCACGGCGCCGGCCCCCTGGGTCCTTTTTCTAACACCTGGAATTTAAACTTCCAGGCTCTGACCACTGAGATGAAAATGAACCTTAGACAGTGAAACCCCTGTGAAAGGAGCTCAGCATTCCACATCTTCCTTTCTGGCTTGGGAAACCTAGGTGGCGGCGTTCCTCCAACCCTTCCTTTGAGACGGTGGATCCTACACCTGCTAGTTTCCTGTTTGATTTGTTGATTTAAGTGACGGGTGGTGCCCATGAAATGCTGCGAATGATGGAGATTTGGGGAGAAAGTGTATGTTTGCAAGGAACTCTTTTGGGAATCCATATGGCTACCTTTTCTTTCGTGTTATAAACATGATTCCAAGTCAGCCCAGTTGTATTTCTGATTGCCTTGCTCTCATGAAATCCTAAATAAAGGGAGACCCAGAGAAGGGCAGATCAAGATGAATCATTTACGTGCGTGCACGTGCGGGAGGCACATCTGAGACTCGGCCCTCAGACAGCACAAAGCACTGTCCTACTCGGTGCCGTGAACACCTCCTGCCCAGGTTCCACGGCCCTGATCCATTCGCTTCTCAATATTGGATTTAACACACCTGTTTATCACAATTGGCCTGCAGTATCGTATAAACACCAGTCGCCAGGATTGACACACTGGATTCTTGCCTTTTATGCTATTTCATGATGATGAGCCGCTACTTTGATTCTCTGGTAAACAAGGAAGTTAGTCACACACACACACACACACACACACACACACACTGACACACGTAAACGTGTTGGGAGAAATCACTTCTTAGGAAATCACCAGGTAGCTTTCACAGAGTTGAGGCTTTGCAAAGATGTGTAACTAGTCGCAACAGAAATTGAGATGGGGAAGCTTGAAACGAGTAGGAATGCGCTGGCGTGGCAATCTGATGCATGGGACGTGTTGGATTCGCCCAAGACTCCTCCTGTCCGGTGCTTTCAATCGCCCGTTCCGCATCTCTCGGGAAACGGTTTTGCCTGTGGTCACTGCTGGTGACCGGCTCCCAGCCCCAGCTTCATCACTGTCTCCAGCGAGCCCCAGGCCAGCGTTTACAGAATCGTGCCACAGGTTTTACCTTGGTGGGGCAGCATCCTAAGACTGCGCTACCACGGCAGCCTCTGGTCACATGGGCTATTTAAAGTTTAATGAAGTAAAATTACACGGAATTAAAAAAAAATGCAGTTGCTTCTTGCCATCGGCCACCTTTCCCGTGCTCCACAGCGACATGTGACTGACAGCGACTGTATTAGCGCGGCTTTAGAATGACCCCATGCATCAGGCAGTGTGTGAAGCGGGTGACATGCATGAACCCACTTGATCCTCACAGGTAGGTAGTATGGGTCTCATTTTCTAGGTGAGAAAACCGAAGTTAGTAACTTGCTCAAGTTCACGGAGTTAGTAAGTCAGGCAGGTGCAGCTTAAGACTCAATGCTGGGTACTTTATAAAGAGGTGTATTATTTGGCTCCTGATTCTAGTGGCTGCAGAGTCCCTACAGCTTGGCTATGGGGCCTAGAACAGGTCCTCTGGCTGCATTACAACAGGGCAGAGAAGTAGAAGGGCAACGGGCTGCCTGTGGAAGCACCAAGCTTTCATTTATAAAAACCTGCTCTCACCCCTTGGGAATCAACTCACCCCATGAGACCAGCATCAACATCTTCTCAAAGGCAGAGGCCCCTACAGCCAGTCACCCTCCACCAGGCCCCACCTCCCACAGGTGCAACACCAGCAGGCTGGGGGCCCAGTGTGCTGCAGCCCCATCCCAGGGCTGTGAACGTGAGACTTGGAAGACAAAGTACGGGCAGAGCCAGCTCAGATATAAATCTGGGTCTCTCTGA